TCCCAGCCTCTAGTAACTCTTAGTAACTTTTACAGAATGGTTCTATTACTTTAAAAAATATTTTTCCACTGGGCATCACTACACAATGATGCAGTCATGGCTCAAAATATTTTGGAAATTCCTCCTTTGGGAATGCCTCCAGAGCCAAGAGCACATTCTTTTAAAATAGTCTCAGTGGTTATAAATCTTTATACCAAGAAGGTGCGTTTGATTCTTAAAGTCACCCAAAACTCATTCGAAAACCGAGCTGGTGAATATAGGTGATCAAATCAGGTGATCAAATACTGCTTCGGGATAAAACACACAGAAGTCTACAACATTAGGCGAATTTTCTTACGTGGGTCACAAACTGCCTCTGAAGGTCATTCACGCAACACGCTTTTTTGTACACTTTTCCTCTGTGCCAGCATACATTCCTGTACGGGGCATAAACCCAGAAAATAACTAACTATACAGTGAAATAGGCATATTTCCAATAGTAATGGATACAAAACCTCAAGAGTCTCTGAGGCGTGGTATGTATCACAATCTAAGGGGAGTCTTTTTTTTTTTAATCTAGGGAGTGAGTGGGGTTGAGCGAAGAGTTTCAAAAATGGTTTAAGCAACAACAAAAAGGAGTGTAGGCAAATGTATATGTCATAGTGATGAGAGTCTCCACCATGGCTAATTTGAAGGCCACACTTATTCAGAGGCTTTCATTCAGATATATTTGTTGAGGTTCCTACCCCATTTACTTTATAAGCATAGTTTTGCATAAAAGGACATGAACTTCATTTCACCCCTAAAGTTATGGTAGCAGGACCAAACAAGACATTACTTTTGCCCATGGTTCTCGACCTTTTCTTTGCCTCATAACGCACTTTCAGTTATGATCTGGGGCTTTCTTTGAGCAAAAACCTCTTGGCTGCCATGCACCATAGTTATTTAGGAAATCCCTTATGACTTCCAAAACATTCATATGTTTTTCCTGGAATAATATTGCACACATTTATATGCGATAGCATTTTCCTGCCCCGTGCATGTTTATGAACCCCGTACTACTTTGCTTAAAATCAATCCCCACTGTTTCGTGGCATTACAGTGGTTGTTGAATAGCACCCTATTATTAGAGGCCCTGAACCCTGGCCAGGAAGGGAAGGACCCTAAACATTCATTGGCCAGTCAAGGGAAGGCACAAAGACATAATGTGACTGCTCCAGATGGAGGTCCACCAGGGTCCTATGACTGCTTGAGTAAAGACTATCTTGGGGCTTTGGGGTGGCAGAATTCACCACTCAGGCCTCCGTTTTATATCTGCCCCAGAAACCTGAAACAGCAATTGCTACTCTAGGGTCGCTCATGCCCAGTGGAAAAGTAGCTCCAACGCCCCTTCCCTGGAAATTCAGAAGGGGTAATGACCTGAGAGATTTCAGCAGTGGCACCGTGAATTTGGACTGTCATTTCTCATCAAAATCATCTCTTGGATTTCTAAAGTAAACGCTAGAAAGGAAAAAAAAAAAAAAGTGAAATAATATAGCAGCTGTGGAAATCACACAGCTCCGAGTCTATGGGGTGAAATGAGTTGAAATTTCACCAGGCCAGGTACCTACACCCCTCACGAATCAAAAAGTAAGAGAGGTACAAAGGAATTTTAGTCATGTCAAAATGTCACCTAGACTACTGTTTTATACTTTTCTTTGACTTGCTCTATAAATATTTTACTACAACTTTCAAAGTTTATAGGATCCTTAAGACTTGTAAAAATGTTGAGTAACTGGAAACCAATGACCGATACCTACCACAGGGATCTTGATTTTTCTTTACTCTCTCTCTTTTTTTTTTTTAAGATGTCATTGAACAGAACGCACTCTACCCAGGATTCCTTGAAAAGACAAACTCATCTCTTGGTTGCAGTGTTGTGAGTCCTCCGTCAGGAAAAATGGCTTCCACGTAGCAACTCTCGTTGATTTGGAGCTTCTCTCCACAGTGTCAGAACTCTCTGGTCTGGGCCCCGGACCTGGAGCTTCCTGGCTCACACACTTCAGAGGCTTAGTGTGTGGTGACTTCCTGCTTCATCCCAAAGAGACCACGGTCGCCTGGATCCCTGATGTCGGCCTCACACTCAGGTTCCTGCAAACAGGGAAGGCCCTGCTTCCTGTCCTCCCCAATGTCATCCTACTGCATTCTGGGAATGATAGATTTTAGAAGGACATGTTTCCAAAGGATCCTTCACCAAGCTGGATGTTTTAGTTGCACGCTTCAGAAATATACACAAGGGGCTTCTGATCTGAGTCAGTGATCTGACTTTTATTGACTTCTGAACTAATTGTCCTGATTTCTAGCTTCTGTAAAAGTACATAGCACAGTGGTCAGCAGTCTAGACAAGATTAATTCATCTGTGGGTGAGGCTACTTTTATTCTACCGATTGAATCCTGCGTGCGTCTCTTTTTTTTCAATAGCTAATAGATTAAAATTTGGTCTCTAAAGGTGTATGAACCTATCACAGAGAGACGTGGAAACCCATACATGAAGCAAACACAGAAGCTGGATGTTATGGTTCCTTGGGTTTGTAAGCAACTTCAAGGCATAGCCTCCACTGTCTCCCATCTCCCTGGGTGTAGACGTGCCTTAAACACAATCAAAAGTGAAACCAGCAGTAAACTGAATTAAATGTAAGGAGTTAATAGAAAAATACATATCAGACAAAGAGTTACTCACTTGGTAAAGCTTTTGTACAGAGAAGACTCCTTTTAACATAAAAAATTCCAACACTTGCATGTTTTAGAGGGAGTTTTGCATGTTACAAAATAATCCTGCTCTGTAGGAAGGATTCGTCATAGACTTCCCTTAAAAAAGTAAAGTATTTCAAACATGATTGCAGTTACAAACGCTTGATTTACACACAACTCTCTGTGAATCTCTCTGTTTCATTAGGAAAAGTATTTCTGTACAAAGGGAAAAAAAAAGCCTAAGCCTTGTTTTGATAGGGAAATTTGATCCATTTGCATATATTGGGTCTGATAGTTATCTGACTTTTGCAAATGTTTCAGCTCTCCTCCCTCTCTGCTATTTTGGGATCTGAGCTTCCTGAAGCTTTGAAATCAAGGCCTGTGTAATATGTTTTCTTTGGCTTTGCTGTAACATTCAGCATTAAATAGAAGACATACAATGATACGGGGGAAAAATCCAATGCTATTCTTGCCAAATCCTGGATGACTTCTTGGTGGAAATGGTCTTTCCATTTTCAATTCCTCATTCTTATTATAACATGCCTTCCGTTGTATATTTTAATCAAAGGACCCTTTCTGTATTTAAAAGCTCTGTGCTTATGTTTGAGTTCCTTGTTTTAGGAAGGTGTGTGGGTGGGGGTGGGAGAGGGAACACATTTGTTGAAGTAATAAGCCACGTCTGATCACAGAGGTTCTACGTGCTCAGTGAGACATGATATTCATGTCTTCTCGAGATGATTTTTCTTTCTTTTTAGTGTAGGCAATTATTTTTGGCCCAACAGGCATGTTGACTTGGTTAGTGGGACGTGAATTTTTTTGCTTGTTTTCCTGTCTCAAGAACGAAATTCTGATGACAGGCACAGCGTGGCCCCAAACGGGATTGTGAGGAGGAAGATCTGGGGAATGTCAAGAGAGCATCACCAGACCAGAGCCTGTTGTTCTTCTGGAAAATAAGCAGTTTCATCTGCGGTCACCTGCCTTCACCTGTACTCCTTTGGATAACTTCCTCCTTTTCAGGGCTCAGTGTGTAAGAGCTGTGGATTTAGTGCCTCAAGATCTCCCAAGATGCAGTCTTGAATATGAGATCTGGCCTGGGGTAAAAAAAAAAAAAAAAAATGCTTCCTGCCCAGAGCAGAGCCCAAGCAGTGCTCAGCACTGGTTAACAAGGTAACTTTGCCATTTATGAAAGGGCAGGACCACTCTGGTGAGCCAAAACCAAAGCAGAAAAAATACATCTTTCTTGTGAAGTTCAGATGTAAAATATTTTCCATGTTCCCAAGAATTTTTTTAAAAGCCTCAGCTTTTCTCCATACCATAGCTGGACAAGAGCTTTCCTAGTTAGTAACCGATGGGTAAAGATTGTGTCTTTTCATCAGGAAGCCAGGCATTTAGGATTTACACATCTTACAATTTCAATAAAAAAGATCACCCAACATTAACATGCCTTTGATGAGGCACTCATATATGATTTAGAGTTGTTTCCCAATAATCGCACAACTGGCCTAATCACACAATGGGCTTTATAATAATGCATTTTCAAAAGAACGCAAATATTTCTTTTGAGGCGATATTCTCCGATGAATTTGGCGTGCCCTAGTTTGAAGACTTTCATCTCCGAACAGGCCAGGGTTTCTCTTTTATCTAGCTGCCTGGCTTGCTGAAAATTTCCCTGACATACAAAGGAAAGCCTACAAAATGTCCAGTCTTACCCAAGGCTTCAAAAGTACTCAGTGCTCCAGATAAAATCTGTCCCACGATTGTCTCTTTCTTACAAGTATTTAGGAAAACCTAGCTTCTGAGTTCCAAGCTACTTGGTTACAGCTGAAAGTGTTCATGAAAACGTGTTCCCCTTAGAAACCTTGAATAAGTCAAAACTAGCAAGGGCTCTTTACTCAAAGGCCTACGGTTTTATTATACAAGGTTACACACTTCTCCAAGACCAGGAAAGCCATTCAAACACTATATTAAAAGATAGAATATAAGGTCTTAACAGACCTGGCTTGTGGGTCATATCTCCTAACTCAACCATCTGCTTAAAAACTCCTGCAAAAGGTGAATAGAAGGCCTGTAGGACCTCAACACACAGCTTTGGGAAGGCAGGACCCTACAATCAAAGGTCATTGGAAACGCACTCTTTAATTTTTTTTTTTTAACGTTTATTTATTTTTGAGACAGAGAGAGACAGAGCATGAACGGGGGAGGGTCAGAGAGAGGGAGACACAGAATCCGAAACAGGCTCCAGGCTCTGAGCTGTCAGCACAGAGCCCGACGCGGGGCTCGAACTCACGGACCGCGAGATCATGACCTGAGCCGAAGTCGGCCGCTTAACCGACTGAGCCACCCAGGCACCCCTGAAACGCACTCTTTAGACTAAAGTAATTCTAGCAGTTGTCATTCTGTTTGATGGAAATCTGCATCATGAGTTTGCGCCCTCTTCCCCACAGCATAATTATTATTGAAATAAGTAAATATTGGATTTCTGGATTGTGAACCTAGGCAGTATGATTCTGTCTCATCTTCACTTCACCAGCTGCCCATGGTCTAACCTCAGTCACATCTGAGTATATACCTGCACGTCTTCATTCATTAGCTTACAATAAATACACTTGCGTGAAGGCAGAGATGATCAGATAATCTTTCAAGTTCCTTTCCAACACGGATTCTCTTCTTTTTGTTGGTCTGTAGTCAGACCAACAATCTGCGGTCAGAGTTTACACAGGGATATCAGTGTGAGCCTATATGAGAAAGTCTGAACATGAACAATCCCAGAATCAGAAAAGTTAATAAACCAGTTAACAAAATGTACTGAGCATTGGCACCCTTCAAAAGAGAAAGATCAGGTTACATTTTTTTTTCAAGGCAAAGAAAAAAAAAAAAAACCTAATTAGTATCATGCTCTGAGATATACTTTTTATTGAAAGCTATGTTTTTATTTTTAATTAGTTCAATAAATGGCAATAGGCAGCTTTTTCCTTAAGTAATTCCCCAGGCTGTAGAATCACTGTAGGAAATTAGCTCCATTTCAGTCTTTGATCCTTTAAGACCAGGTCTACAGCTTTGCTGGACTAGTGTCAATCGTTTTAAGACCCCAGAGAAGGAAAAGCCTTACTGTCCCTAGCAATGTAAAAATGCACAGTGTCAGGAAAACAGGGTTCCACGTACATTAAGCAAAGAACAAAGCTGATCGTTACCCATAAAAGGAAGGATTTACATGAACTCTCCCCCAGCAGAAGAGGTGGGGAAAAGTTAGCATGCGGTTGTTAGAGAAACCTTTGAATCTCCTTTTGTGTCTAATGACCTTCATTTGAAGACAGTCCCCTTCCTGACATTTTATCTAAATATATATCCCAAGTTGTCTAGGTTGGTTCATTAAAGTAAAATAATATCACAATATAAAAAGTCTTTACAATAACAAGTTTTCCAATCCCAAGTAGTGACTTCTTTTAAGCTGTGCGATAAGAAAATGTTCTCGTAGAGTGTTGTGTTATTGTCACTCATAGTTTCCATTTGCCTACCCTTTATTTATTTTTCTGATGGTAATAAAAAATAAACTTACTCATGCATCTCTTAAATGATACACTTTGCAAGGTAAAATCACAGTATGGTGAGTTTAAAAAAAAAAAAAAATGCCACCCTACCCTTAATTCTTCCATTTAGTGGAGCCTCATTGTTTTACTTAAAATAAGTGGGTGGCTATTTCAGTTTGCATTTCCTCTCTACCAGAGGATTCTTTTAAATTTTTTTGTTCAACGTTTATTTATTTTTGGGACAGAGAGAGACAGAGCATGAACGGGGGAGGGGCAGAGACAGAGGGAGACACAGAATCGGAAACAAGCTCCAGGCTCTGAGCCATCAGCCCAGAGCCCGACGCGGGGCTCGAACTCCCGGACTGCGAGATCGTGACCTGGCTGAAGTCGGACGCTTAATGGACTGCGCCACCCAGGCGCCCCGAGAGGATTCTTTTAAATACATAGGTATGCTTTAAGAGAATTTCACCTGGCAGTTTGGCGTTGACTGGTGCTAACTAAAATTTGAGAACTGTCTCACGTCTACAAATGTCATATCCCTTCACGCAGAGACAACGGTTTGCTGAACATTTGCTCTACATTAGAGATTTACGATCTGCTTTTGTTCCTGTGTGTCCCCTAGGTTTTGGCCACATTTGTACATAATCACTCGCTCCTTTTCATATAGGTTCAAAGTTCCATTTTCCCAGAATTCGTCTCAAGGCTCAATAAGGATATCAAATTTCCACTTCAGCATGGGGGGACTATCTCATATAATCTGTAACTCCCAATGTCATATACGATGATTTTTTAATTGTGTGTCTTATTTGCAAGATATCTGATCATGTGGCATTAACCAAGTTCCTATATTTACTTTGGAGCAACATTTCTTTCCTGGGGCTCATTTGGCTGGTTTCACATTCTGGTGTAATAATATATCATACACAAACTTAGGGAAGAAATTAGAAAAACAGTCTATTCATAAGAACAATTTAAGAAATCTACTGGGTTGGAAGCCTTTCTCCCCTGGTTGAGATCATTTTATTTATTATTTTTTTTAATTCATCTATAAATTATATCCTAGAGGAAAACTTCGTGCTAGGGACAGTGAGCACCAAATCCCTATGCACTTTTTATTTGTGCAGCAGGATATCTCAATGCCTCATGAGAAATATGATGTACCCCAAGATGGGAGGTTCTGGGGCAGAAGTGCTGGCCCCGCTCTGGGTTGAGATCACAGCCACTCTCTCTGCTTAGGTTCCATGGACCTCACTTTGCCTGAACAGAGGATCCTTGATTTTATTTCACCTGCGCTGTTCCTCTCCACTCTCAGACACTCAAAAGAATAATTATTCCCACAGTCGCCATTGAAACCTGCCTTTTGAAAAGTCTGGACCAGGAAACCGATGAATATCTCTGAGTTTGCAAAAATAGAATCGCCATTCCTGAAACTTTGGTTTCTTATAAAGGGACTTTTGTAGAGGTCCCCACCGATCTGTTTACATTGGATGTCTGTTGGGTTGCCTACAATGGCTGCCTGGAGCTGTTGGCCACAAGAACTTCCTCTCTATCTCCTTCTTCACCTTAAAATGGATGCTAAGGTCTCTTCTGGACCCTTATCCCCAATTTTCTTTTTTTTACCCAAGTGTTTATTCAGGGAAAAACCATCCGTGGCAGAATATGTGGTGCCAAAGGAAAAGGGAGGGTAACACCTCATGCCGGCTATCACTCCCTCCCCCTCCACATCCTTATTCCCATGCCCCATTGCTCCATACCAAATTACCCCAAAACTTAACAGCTTAAAACAACCATTTCTTTACGCTCACAAATTTTCTGGGTCAGGAATTTAGTCAGAGTACAATGAAAATTGCATATGTCTGCGCAGCAGTATCTAGACTCTCCACTGGGAAGACTCCACAGCTAAGGGTGACTCAAACAGCTGGGGATGGAATCTTCTGGAGGCATCTTCACTCACATATCTGGTGTTTGATGTTGGCTGTCAACTGAGATGTCAGTTGCCTCTTTACATATGTCCTCTCCATGTGGTCTGTGCTTCCTGCCAGCTCCGAGCTCCAACAGTGAGTGCCCCAGTCAACAAAGTGAAAGCTACATTGTACTTTCTACCTAGTCGTGAAAATCGTGCCGTGTTGTACTGGCTACAAGCAAATCACAAACCGACCCAGACTTCAGGAGAGAGGACATTGACCCCCACCTCTCAGTAAGAATAGTGTCAAGACGCTCGGCAGTCGTGGGGCACCACCTGGGTGGCTCAGTCTGTTAAGCACCCGCCTCTTGGTTTCAGCTCAGGTCATGATCAAGCCCTGCATCAGGCTCTGCACTGACAGCATGGAGCCTGCTTGGGATCCTGTCTCTCGCTCGCTCGCTCGCTCGCGCTCTCAAAAATGAATAAATGAACTTCAAAAAAAGAAATTTGCAGTCTTTTTTAAAAAATCACCACATTTATCAACCCCATCCTTCCAAGGCAACGTTCAACATTCTTAATGTCTTCACATTCATTCCTTCATCAATCCTCTCTCTCTCTCTCTCTCTCTCTCTCTCTCTCTCTTTCTCTCATGCTCTTCACCCCAGGACACTTACTTGATGTCTTAACGTTTCTCTGCAATATACCTGATGTGTTTTTTTTCCTTTGTACAAAATAAAAACAACAACAAAACTCGTGGCTTAAAAAAAAAAAAGTTGAACCTGTAAGGAATGACCGAACAAAGCAACAACCCAAAAGGGAGCGCACTCTCACACCCAACTTTTAAACCCACACATGCCCTCCTTGACTTTTGTTTCCGGCAACTATGGAAAAGAATCTCAGAAATTTCAAACCAGCTGTAAATTCGCTTCAGGGACAGCAGGGCAGAAAAGTAGCACCAAGACTACGTTCTGTTTTTACAGTGGGGTGAGAAAGAGAAAAAGGGAGAAACCCCAATATAAAACAACAAGAAGCAGAAAGGCACCCATGAGCAGAAAAGCCAGCCTTGGAGTCCTTTGGGCATAGGACGTGATGGAGGGAGAATCCGAACCAGATATGGTGATAAAGGATAATTCTATTGCAGCCTACTTTAATTAGCTGTACTCAATAGAAAGGACACAGCAGACGTGAGATTCCAAGAGATCAGAGTTCAAATATGCCATTTACTATCAATACGTGCATGCCACTGTCCACTTCGTTCGTGAACAAACTGAAACAGCATTGACCCACAGCCATGTGGCCAGGAAAGGCCGGAGCCCGTCTCCAGATCTCCTGCTCATCACTGTGTCTCTTTATGTGTTCCTTTCCCCTGACAAACTGAGAACCCCCCAACGAAGGGCAGGACCTGTGTCACTCATTTCTGAATCTCCAGAACTTAGCGGCGTGCCCCACACACGGTGGGTATTCTGCAAATAGTTTGAAGTCATTGACGAGCAAACAAATGTTGTTCGGTTCCAACAGGGATGTTCAAGTCTGTGGTTCAGAGAGAAACGGGATGGAAATGCAGATTCCAGCACAATCTTGCAGACCGTCTCTACGGAGTCCGGGTAAGTAAATCTGAATCTCTTCCATGACAGACAACCTCACAGGCTATGTTTAGCTGACATTAAAACACTTCGTTCCCGGGGCACCTGGGTGGCTCAGTCGGTTGGGCGTCCGACTTCAGATCACTTCATGATCTCACGGTTTGTGAGTTCAAGCCCCGCATCGGGCTCGCTGCTGTCAGCACAGAGCCCGCTCCGGACCCCCTGTCCCCTTCTCTCTGCCCCTTCGTCACTCACGCACTCTCGCTCTCTCAAAACTAAATAAACATTAAAACAAATGTTTTTTTAAGTGTACTAATTGAAAAATAAAACTCTATTCCTTTACCCTGCAACTTGGCTGTTTTCTAAGTTACAAGGGGTATTTTTCCTTCACTACATTATCCTAGAGGCCATGCACCAGCTGTTCTGTTGTGCTATTATATAATCTGAAACAGAGGGAAATTACAAACAAAATTCCCAAATACCTATTCACATTCGATTCATTTCACAGGTGCCCGTGTGCTACCGATGCCAGCGGTTTGATTTCATGTCACCTGGTTACAATTTAAAGCCTACCAAGAAACGGCCTGGTTTGGAAAGTATAAAAACCAACGGACAATTACGCGCTGGATATGTTCCCCCAATTCTGTAACGACACGATTGGCCGAAGGCTTTTTAAGAACTAGATTTGCCGCGAGACTCTAAGTAATTGGAAATTTTTCTATTTTGGAAAATTCCCCCTCGCAGTCCCTTTAGCGCACGTAAAGTGTCCCCAGACTTTCTGCTTTTTAGATACCTCACTTGTAGTGTGATAGTTGTCCTGGGTATAAGCAGGATGATATCGGTAACAAGGGCTACGTGGGTATCAGTACATGTAAGGCTAAGTAACTGATTTCCATTCTCATTCAACTCAGAAACACGTGGGACACACTTTTTTTATTTGAGAGGGAGAGAGAGCATGCACCCATGCAGGCATAGGAGGGAGAGAGGGAGAGAGAGAGAATCTTAAGCAGGCTCCACACACAGCTCGGAGCCTGACTCAAGACGACGCTGGGATCACGACCTGAGCCAAAACCAAGAGTCCGATGCTCAGCCGGCTGAGCCACCCAGGAGCCCTACACGTCACATTTTAAACTCCTGTTATTTCTACCTGATATCCACATATGGGGGAAAGTTCTAAAGCATCAGTGCGTCCCTAATGCTTCCTGATATCCATACATCCCAACATACAAATATGTGTTAACAAAGGGAGAGATTTTATACGAAACCACCTCAAGAACATAACTGATTATTACGATGCTTGGTGGTGTAGTCACATCTCTTCACGTCTATTTGGAGCCGGATACGATTCGAATTGTCTGCTGAGTATTCCCAGTCACAGGTGAGGCACCCAAGGCCCACAGAAGTTGGACCACTTCCACCGGCTCCCCCTCATCTGCTGTTCTTCCCCTGGCGCCACAATGTCTCTTTACGAGAGTATGTTTTCATTCGAGGCAGGTAAACGATAAGATATATTTCACGTTTGTTTGAATCACAGGTACCCCGTGAATTTTCCAGCCCCAGCTTTTCTTTCTCCCTACCTTATGTCCAGCGTCCCCCGCCCACATAAAAAGTCGACGTCCGGGTTAGAACTCTCACATATGGAGCTTCCTTTCAGTACTGAGAGAGTGCCAAACACTCTCCGTTTTGAGAATCCCCAGAGGTTTCTAAGGGTTATTCAAGCGGGCGGCAGGTGGGGCTTACGGGCCCGCCGCCTCTACTGCCCTCCCTGAGCTGCAGCCGGATTTTGCCGCCCCATCAGCCGAGAACCGGGGGAAACCAGGCTCAGGAGATGAGCCTCACAGAGTCGGGATCGGTCTGGAAAGCACGAGTGTGAAATGGAAGCCAGATTCACTTAGTTTCCTTTACAGAAGCATCAGCCCCACTCGGACACCGGCTGTCTTCCCTGCCAGAGAAGAAGAAGAAACTGCTTTGTCTCGTTCACTTCGTCACCTAAAACCATTTCATGGGCTTGACAGCCGCTGCTTGCTAATTATGGGGCCAACTCCTCAGCATGAGGTTTGTGGCATCGACAGGTCCCGGAACAATCCAGCGATTGTCTGGGGGAAGCTTGGGCACTCGGGGTTGAGCACTTTCGCGTCAATTATCCCCACGGGCTGTCACGACTTGGAGCTGCTCTAGTGGAATGAAGGGAAGAAAAGTAATGAGGAGCTCGGAGGCCTGCACACGGCTCACTGGCCCCGAAGAACATTCCGCCTGAATCTCTGTTTCCGGCCGTCGAAGATACGATGAGAGCGGTTCCACACACCCCTGCTCCAGAAAAACACCACAGAGCTCCCATTCCCGAGCATTAGCATTCACAGAAAGGGGTCATTCCCTACAGAAATGCGATCCGATTTCAGCTCTAGGCGTAGGTGTTTGGGGCCTTGTCATTTTCTCAGCGGTAACCAAAAGGTTGAAAAACGCATCCCCTTTCTTTCTTGGAATGCTTTGCGAAGGTAGAGAGGAAGGCAGAAGGGGAAGAGCCACGATACAGTTTCTTGGTGCGTGTGGGGCCTTGATGTTTAAAAGGCAAACTACATAGGATGGTGGGGAGTCGGCGGTCTCCCCAAATCCACGTTCCACGTGTCCACACACGTCCAGGCTGCCCTTCCCCGCCCGCCTCGCAGTTAGGTGTCGTTGTCCGGGCCGCCGGACCATGGCTGGGCCCAGGCCTCTGCGGAGCGAGCGGGCCCACCTCCTCCATACCTGCTCCCCTTCTTACACCTTGAACTTGGATGTGCGCATAACCACCTTCAACCGTGCAGATGACAAGTATCCCGGGGAGTCAGCGACGGCGGAGGACAGAGCAAAGACTTGCCAAGGAACCTGTGTCCTTAAACAGCAGTGGGTCAGAGCAGCCCGCCTCTGGAACTTTCACCTTGGGCTGTCACATGAAAGACATAAACTTGTTAGTCTTTTAAGCCACTGCACTGTTGAGTCTCTGAATAACAACTTGGCCTTCTGCGCTAATACAGACAACGGTTCTCGGCCCACATCAGAAGGGGCTTGCTTCCCCAGGCGCTACTCTCTTCTTTACTGGCTCCCCATACATCACATAACATCTCGCAGAAAGCCCAACCTTTATCCAGACTGATGGAAATGATTCCCCCAGCCTCGAAAATCTTTCCTCGGGAAGCGGCTCACTTTCAGCAGCAGGGATGTCTCCAGCAGTCCCTGGGGGAAAGTTTGGGCTCTCATCCAGGGCATAGCCACGGGCTCTCAGGCCCGGGTCCGAAGTGACCTTCCTTCCAAGCTAGGGAGGTCTGGTCCACGGTCCGGGGAGTCTGTTTCTCTCACCAAAAGGCCAGCAAGGAATTGTGAAATGCAGGAGCCCGAGGAAAGATGTGGAGACTATACTAGAATGCCTATAGCTTTTGGACTCACGTACGAGAAGAAAATAATCACTTCTGCAGATTAGATCATGGGTCCATGGGAGGACAATTACTCATGGAACAAGACGTGTCATACTGCCCAGAGACAGTCAGTGAATGTAACTATCATCCCCTGAGATGATTTTTATCTTGGATTAAAGACCGTGATAGAGCAGCACCTGGGTGGCTCAGTCGGTTAAGCTTCCGACTTTGGCTCAGGTCACCATCTCACGGTTTGTGGGTTTGAGCCCCGCATTGGGCTCTGTGCTGATGGCTCGGAGCCTGGAGCTTGTTTCAGATTCTGCCCTCTTTCTGCTCCTCCCCTACTCGCACTCTGTCTCTGTCTCTCTCTGTCTCTCTCTCTCTCAAAACTAATTAGCGTGAAAAAAAAATTTTTAAGCGATAGAGATCAAAGAACTTGATATGTTTGGGTTGTTAGTGGGTTAATATATGCTAATTATGTAACTTATTAACTAATATATGAGTTTTCATAGAACTTTCTACAACGATAAAAATGTTCTATATCTACATTATTCAATATGGTAGCCACTAGCCACAAGTGGCTAATAAGCACTTGAAATGTGGCTAGTGCAAACGAGGACCTGAATTTTTAATTATATTTAATTTAAGGAACCTATCATTGGATAGGTATATGTGACTACTGGCTACTCTCTTGGAGATCACAACTTTGTTCAGCATAGTTTTCCTGAAAAGGGCCAGATAATAAATATTGGAGAACCACGTGGTCTCACAACTCCTCAGTCCAGTACTACAGGGTGAAGGCAGCCCCAGACAATATAGAAATTAATGGGCATGGCTGCGTACGGTGAGATTTGATTTGCAAAAATAGGGGGCTGTTTGAGCCTCGTCGATAAATTTCTAAATGCTTTCCACGATGTTTTTAGCTGCCGAGGCTGAGAAATAAATTCACACCAAAGTGTTAGTGACAATATATTTCAATATCTGCATGTTTCCCTCTTTTGGTAAGGACCCAGAGGAAAAGGTACCTAACCTGGGAGAGTTCATCTCAAATTTCAGCATCTCAGATGCCGTGGGACTTGGTAGGAGACACGTGAGGAAGAATGCCTTTCTTTCCTCGTGCCCCCACAAACCACATTCCAGAACTGGAAAGCCCCTTGCTCTCCTTGCCAGGGTCCTGCTCTCAGTCCCTGCGTTGTCATGACATTTGGAGGGTGTCTGTTCCCATCAGAACTTTACCCTTACACAGCCCGGAAGGGGATGGAAAACGCCCTGGCCAATTTGTCTTACAGAACCAAAACTCTCCTTCGTGTGTCACTTTTATTTGGTGCCAAAATTAGAAGATTAAAAAGGTAGATAAATCAAAGCCTTTTCCTACCTGGTAAAGGCAAATCAATAGACTCAATTTCCCAGAGTCTCAGAGAAGCCATGTTTCATTTTTAAATTTCACCTCAAAAGCCATAACTGGCGAATACAGGATACGCTATATCCAGCACATGAGGCTCAGTGGGAAAGAGAAATGGAAAAAAAAAAAAAAAGAGAGAGTTCTGGGGCCAGAGAGCCACAGAAAATAGACTCCAGAATGAAGAATCTGGAGCCGTCTCAAAGGCAGTGCTTTGCACATTCTGACTTCTGATTTAATACTAATTAAAGACACATTTAAGTTTAGCCCACATTTGCACCCTGACACATTGCCGGGTGCTTTAGGGAAAGGCTGCCTTCCCCTGTCCAAAAGGGGTGGAGGTAATTGTGGCCTGGAGAATAAAAGCGAATCATTAGAAAAATATGCTGAGAATGTGGAATATCCTCACAGCCGTATCATGAATGGTTTCCTCTTGTGGTCAGGCTGGAGGAAAATGTATCTTGCGATGCAGTTATGATATCGTCAATATTGAATGGAAAATGCTCACATACACGGGTGCCCCAGGACAGATCAAGAAGCAAAGTTATTGCAGGCAACTCTTAGAGATGCTTTTCTTCTTTTCCCTAGGATGTTGTGTTGCCTTCTAAACTTGGCATGAACAGTAGGGTCTGATTCCTTGATGGTTTCCTATGTCCTTGCCCCCGCCCTTCCTCTGACCCCCATCTTAAATCAAGCCCCCTCCCCGAAGCACCTGCTCTTAAGAGTTTTCCAAATCTTTCATGAGGGCTAGGCCCCTAGCCTTCCAATACTTCCCACTGGTAAGAGAAAAGCGCCCACTACCGCCAACGTCCCAGTGGTTCTTGATGCACTCAAAACCACCAACTACTACAATCTATAGGAGCCCTCTACTTACGTTTAAGGCTGGCTGCGCGTTGTCACCCCACAGACGCTTTCGTTCCCTTTACCCCCGGCCTCCCCCTCAACAAAGCCCTAGCCACTGGCCAAGAGAACTGGGATCTCCTTCTAGGGTAAACTGTGCACCAAGTTCGGGCTCCATAACTCAGGTCACTGTAAGTGCGATGGAACAGCGCTGAACTGGAGTGAGGTGAGCTGAGTTCTAGTCTATCATTAGGAAACTCATTTAACCAGTCTCTTAGGGAAAGTAAATGATAAGCTGGAACACTGCCTGCTTGCAAATTCGATGACTGTCCGAAAAATGACCAAATGTAGGATGCTACCATGTTCTACATAAATTGACAAAGTCCTGGGGAAGGGCTTAAAAACAAATAAATTGTCCTACTTGAAAGACGAGAAATGGACAAATTAGCTAGTTTGGGGAGAGTTGTTAGTATTAGTGATAATTAAAGAGGTGATGATACCTAAGAAAATCAAGGGTCCTGATAAGGAGTTTTAGAGAAATTAAAGAGTAGGATACAGAGCTCTATCGTTAGCTCAGATCTATAGTAGAAAGGAGTCCTGCATATTCTTTACAAGGGCATAAAAAAAAAAAAATTGCGTTTGGGAGCTGCTTTCATAAGTGGTTCGGCCAGTGTGAAAAATTGTTCATTGGATGAGAAAAATCTTAGCAAAAGTTGAAATTTTCTGGTGTGAAACTACGGAGCAAAAATGTGTGATTCTCCATGGAAACGTGGTTTCGAAAGAAGCCAAGGATCTGCTCGCACATTTCAGTGACATCACGGGGAGCAAAGCCACCGATGCTGCTACTAAACCATCCACGGACTGGATGGAGAAGGTCAGAAGCCAGTACTCCCCGCCGGAGGTAGAGCCTACACAAGGTGCATTTGCGCGAGGGGTGTGCTCCTGAGCTACAGTGGTTCATCCAAGAGAAGAAAGGTCCCTGGCCGCTGTTCAGGGGAGACCAAAGCTGGCATGGTAGAGGAAATCCCTTGCCAGGTCATTTTCTCCTCCAGGCAGAAGAAACCAGCGAGCTTTTGGCCATGGGCAAAGGACTCGCTTCACTGTGGCCACGTGGTTAAGTCTTATGTTGGGTCGGATGTTCCTGTGCTACCCTATGAACTCCAGAACAGTTAGGTGCAAGAATGCGAATGAGTGAAACATTGTCTAAGGTTCTAATTGAACTTCTTCTGTTGGAAAGACAAGAAAAGGCAAAGGAAGTCAGGGCTTTCGGGATCACACTACGGAATGTTAGTATATCACCCTCTTAAAGGGAATAAGGAGTCTGCACAGGGGGCCCACACAAGGTTGTTTCTTGAAGCCCTTTGGTTTTATATATTAAAAACAAACCAAAAAAGGCTAATCACCATCTGTCAATAGAAAAGTGATTGAATATTCCACAGTATACCCATGACAAAGGATACTATGCAACCATTTAAAAAATAATAATAAAGGGGCACCTGGGTGGCTCGGTCGGTGAAGTGTCCAACTTTGGCTCAGGTCATGATCTCACAGTTTGTGGCTTCAAGCCCCGCGTCGGACTCTGTGTGCTGACAGCTCGGAGCCTGGAACCTGCTTCCGATTCTGTGTCTCCCTCTCTCTCTGCCCGCCCACCTCACACTCTGTCTCACAAAAAAAATAAATAATAAATATTTAAAAACTTTTAAACAATAGTGCTAATAAAGCCCAACCCTTTCATTGAACTAGAAAAATCTCTAAAACGTGTTTTGACATTAAAAAACAAGTTACCGATGAAAAGATACAGTGTGAGATGGCTTGTATTTTTTTTTTAATCCCACGATAAAAAGGAAGATTTGGAAAACTTTTTTTATTTTTTTTAATGTTTTTTAATCTTTATTTTTGAGAGCGAGACAGAGTGTGAGCAGGGGAGGAGCAGAGAGAGAGGGAGATACAGAATCGGAAGCAGGCTCCAGGCTCTGAGCTGTCAGCACAGAGCCCGACGCGGGGCTCGAACTCATGAAAGATTTGGAAAATCTTAAGAGCAGGTGCTTCTGGGAGGGGGCTTGACTTAAGATGGGGGTCAGGGGGAATTTCAATTGCAGTATGAAAATGTTTTTAGCTGAATATATTGTGTGTTACCTATGACAAAATGGTTGAGATCAGGGATTTGAGGCAAGATTCGCTTTTTCAAAATTTCAGCTTCAATATTTAGTATCTGAGGCAAATTATTGAACCTCCCTGAGCCTGTTTCCTCATCTACAAAATGGGGGAAATGATAGTTCCTAATCACAGAGT